CATCGGTACCCAGTGCAATGCACAAATTGCCAGGAGTTTGGGCACACCAGGACATACTGCACACTTCGGTCAGTTTGTGTAGTCTGCGGAGACTTCCAAAATTCCGCACACAGCCCTGCTAACAAAAAGACCCCCATACAAAAACATGTGGGAACTGCGGAGGAAAATATAGATATGGAAAATCCACTCCAGCCACTCTCAGAAAACGCTCAGCTGGGACCTGTCCAGCCGCAAAGCAAACCATGCAGCAAAGCATGACGGAGTTCATGTCATTTATGAAAACGCTGGTCCAGAACCAGAATATGGTGATGCAGCTGCTTGTATCACAACAGTTCAAATAAGCAAGGACCAATCTACGCGTATCCATGTGGAATGCCAACGGCATCACACGGCATAAATTCAAAATAACACTATTCCTGAATGTAAATCACATTGACGGCATGATGCTGGTTGAAACGCACCTTACAAGCAAATATAACTTCCATATACGGGGATAGACCTTCTACCGCACAGATCATTGCGATGGTAAAGCCGACGGCGGCAGAGCACACATCAAACACCATTTTCACTAAAGGCTTGCAACAATTTATTTGCAAGCCACGTCCATAAAAGTGCAGTCAGGAAACGACAACATCGACAACATCGCCGCTGTCTTCTGCCCACCTCGCTTTACAATCTCGGAAGTTCAATTCATGGATTTCTACAACTCACTTGGAAATCGCTTCATAGCTGCTGGATATTACGACGCCAAGCATACGCACTGGGGATCACCCCTCGTTACTCCCAAGGGAAGGCAATTTTATAATGCACTTAGAAATGTGAGAAATAAGTTAGACTACGTTTCTCCTGGTAGCCCCACATATTGGCCAGCAGATCCCAGAAAGATTCCAGATCTAATTGATTTCGCGGTGACAAAAAACTTCCCACGCAACCTAATAAGCGCCAAGGCCCTATCGGATCTTTTATCAGACCACTCTCCATTATTGATGACCCTTCTTCAAAGCCCAGAAATTACCGATCAGACCTACAGGCTGACGTCACACAGAACTGACTGGATGAAATACAGGAAGTACGTCAGTTCCCACATTGAGCTTACCACCCAGCTCAATATCGAAGCGGTCATCGACTGCTCTACCGCCGCCCTGGAAAAGGTACTCGTTACAGCAGCCAGGATCTCAATACCACAACGATATGATGTGCAAATAAAGAAGTTCAAAACCAACCTGCAAATTGAACAGCTCGTTCTGGAAAAGAGGCGTCTGCGACGGGCGTGGCAAACCAGCAGATCGCCATTCTCAAAGCAACGTCTAAATGAAGCCACCCGCAAACTGAACCGGGTTCTGAAGCAAGATGCCAAAAACGCACAACTGAGATATATTGAGAAACTCTCTCCAACAAGTACAAAGCATCCTTTTTGGAGGGCTCACCCAAATCTAAGCTCTCCGGTTGAATCCGTCTCCCCGATAAGAAATTCTTCAAGTGGCTGGGCCCGCAGCGACTCAGACAGAGCCGAAACATTTGCCTCACATCTCAGGGGCGTCTTCCAGCCGAAACCCGCTGCTAATCCTTTTATTCTACCGCAAATCCAAACTGAAAGTGTATCCACGATAACACCGTTTCGACCGAGCGAGATTATCAAGTCATCCGGAGGCTAAAACCGAAGAAGGCTCCCGGCGGTGACGAAATAACTCCAAAAATGATAATTGAACTTCCAAACTGTGCTACTGAGGTCATCTGTAAACTCTTCAATGGGATCATAAGTCTTGGCTACTACCCAAAAAAATGGAAAAAGTCAATAATTATAATGATACCGAAGCCCGGAAAAGATCACACGATTCTGTCCTCTTACAGACCAATAAGTCTATTATCATGCCTGTCCAAACTGTTCGAAAGATGCCTTCTAACACGCATATTACCATATATGGGAGCTCATAACATTATCCCAGCCCATAAATTTGGCTTCAAAGAAAAACATGGAACTATCGAGCAAGTCAACAGAATAACATAGAGAATACAGCAGCGCGATATTCCTCGACGTATCTTAAGCATTCGAGCGCGTCTGGCTCAACGGTCTCATGCATAAAATCAAAACACCGTTGAGTGGTATCTCTACAACAGAGTCTTCGCAGTGAGGTGCAACACAGATACCCAGTCCGTGCATCATCCCAATTAGCCAACCTCCTCACGGTTGTGTCTATCTGACCGGCTTTCAGAAGTGTAAACACATAACGTTTACTCTTAACAGACAAACATGCCCTCCTATCTACTTTAAAAGCACACAGATCCCCCAAGTCAACGAAGTAGCGTATCTCGGCGTCCACCTCGACAGACGTCTTACATGGCGTAGACACATCGAATGCAAGAAACCACTCCTAAAACTAAAAACCAGCAGCCTCCACTGGATTTTAAACTCCCGATCGCCCATTTGTCTGGACTACAAGGTACTGTACAACAACTCCACTTATAAGCCAATCTGGACGTATGGCTCCCAGGTCTGGGGGAATGCGAGCAAAACTAAGCTAAGATCCTGAGAACTATCACTGGGGTAATGGTATATTCGAAACCAAATCATCCACAGGGATCTTGGCATTCTCGCAGTAAAAGATGAAATTGAGAAGCAAAAAGCGTCATACAAGGAAAAACTCTCACTCACCCATGTATCCCGCCTGACATTTTCCTGCGCATAATCAATAATCTTCGCTTAATCATGGCGTTGCCACTTCTCAGGGCTGCAGTCAAATTAGTGTGACCGACCAGCGATATTTCCAGTATTTTTGCTCCCGTTGATTGCACTAACGATCAAATATCGTTATCGAGGCGACCACATTTCCAATTTCCGCTGGGCTCGTTTGTTTTGGTAAGTAAATGGATTTACGTTACCCCTTTTTTTTTTATTCTACCCTTTTCTTTTCTTCTTCCAACATGGTCGAGCTGTTGTTGCCTTCCTGATGTTCATGCGCCGGGGCGCCAACCATGGCCCAGCGCGTCCCGGCAGGCGTATGTTTTGGGTAACCGCGAAACAAGCGGGGACGCCAGTATCTGGAGGACCGGCGACGAGCACCGGTGCCTCCACTTCGCCCCTGGCCGTTCCGCCGGCTGCGGCCATCCATCTCGACCTGACCCAGCTTTTGACGTTGTTGTTGTTGCCGTTGCGGCTGCTGCTGCTGATGCTAAAGTCGCTGCTGCTGCTGCTGCTGAAATCGCTCTTGCTGGTGCTGTTGTCGTGTCCAGGCGTTTTTTTTTCTCACGGCTTGTGTACACTCCTCTAACCCGCTTTTTGCGCTCCAATGTACCCTCCTCTTACCCGCTTATCGCTCTCCTGGCGCTCGCACTCTAATTGTACGTGTGTGTGGGAGCCAATACATCGATACTCCGTTTCGTCCTCTCCCTTTCTCGCGCAACGCACGTACACTTATTATTTCTGTTCGGTTGTGATTGGCTTTAGCTCACTTATGTGAGTCCGTTTTTTTGGCCACTCAGGCTGTGCCTTAAGTTGCAAATGACCGGCGAAACAAAATTTGTATGGCCCGTCATTTTTTCAGTTGGAACTCAGGCCATTTCTCGTCCCACGTCTTTTGGTCGGCTCCCGCAAAATGGGCGATAATTGTCTTCACCGTCCTGTTTGCCCTCTCCGTCTTGTTCTCCTGCGGTGTGTATGAAGAAGAAAACTGGTGTCGCACACCGAACTTTTCCAGGAACCTTTTAAACGACCTGCTGGTGAACTGCACCCCGTTGTCCGTAATTAGAACCTTAGGTTCGATTCTCTCCCTGATTGCCTTTTGCAGCGATTCGGTGGTCGCCTTCCGCACCATCTCGGTCCACTTGAAGAAGCGGTCCACCATCACGAGCAGCATTGCATCCCCATGTTTTGCCCGTGGCAGTGGCCCGACGAAATCGGCGCACACTATCGCCCATGGCCCCTCGGGAATTTGCGTCAACATCTTGCCGGCCGCCTGCAGCTGGTTCAGTTCGTTCCTCATACAGCTTTCGCATTTCCGTTCATAGGCCCTGATGTCTCTATGCATGCCCGGCCGTTGGTGTGTCATGGTTTTCTGCAATAGCTTTTCTCTTCTCGATCGGCTGGCTATGCATAATTTCCATGCGACCACCTTGCTCCTCATCTCTGCTATCCAGTCACGCTCCTGTTCCTCAATCTTTGGGCCTGCCTTCGCTGTCTTCACTCGGCGGCACTTGGCAACGGCTGCCACGACATTAAGCTGGCATTTCACGTAGGATATCTCGAAGTCGTACTGTTGGAGTTCTAACTCCCAAATTCGTGATCCTTCCCGACGGGCTCTCAATACTATTGAGCCATTTCAGTGCCAAGTGATCTCTAATAACCTTCAAATTGTATCCCTCCAGGTACGGCCGCAACCTTCTTATGGCCCACACAATGGCCAAGCATTCTTTCTCCATTGCGGAGTAATTTCTTTTCGCTCCATTTAGAGTGAATAGAATATTACTCTCTCGCCTTGTTCTGAATGAGTATGGGTGAGTGAGTATGGCGCCAAGCCGTTTGTAGGACCAACGTTTTCGTGAAGTCGGGGCATGCCAGGATTAGATCTGCGAACAGCCTGGCTTTGACCGGCTCGAGTGTTACGAAATCGGGTATGAAGCGTCGATACCACGTTGCCACTCCTAGGTACGTAAGCTGGGGGTTCCAGCAACGCTATCGCCGCTTTCTTCTCCGGATTAGTTCCAATTTCTTGGTCCGTGATGCGATGCCCCAAGTACTGTAGCTCTAAAGAATTTGCACTTGTCCACGTTAACCTTTACCTTAGCTGCCCGCAGTCTTCGGAAACCTTTCTCAGGTTGTTTTTATGCTCCTCCAGCGTCCGTCCATTGACGATGATGCCGTCCTGGTACGCAAAGGCAGTCGGGATCATCTCGTGGCCTATGACCTCGTCGAGCGCCCTTTGAAAAGTCGCTGCGGCTGAGTACAGTCCAAACGGCATCACTTTCCACTGGAGCAATCTTTTTCCTGGGACGATGAAAGGAGTTTAATTCCTGCTCTTCTTTTCCAACGGTATATGCCAGTATCCATCCTTGAGATCCGGGCTACTAATATAATTTGCCTCTCTTAACAGGTTTAGAATGTAATTGATCATAGGCATTGGGTACGAATCCTTTATCGACTTCGCGTTCATCTGCCGGAAATCTACGCACAGCCTCCATTTCTTTACCATGACGATTGGGGAGCTATACGGGCTTCTAGACGGCTCGATGCATTCTTTCTGCAGCAGCTCGTTTACCTTTTCGTTAATTTCCCCTTGCATTTTAGGGTTCTTTGGGTAGTACCGCATCTTCACAGGCTGGTCGTCCTGCGGCATCTTGCTGGTATTGCCACTTTGAGCCCTGCGCATTTCATCTCCGCCCCAATCTTCGTGAGGAAATCCCATCCCAGCACTAGGGCGTCTATCACCCTTGGAAATATCAACAACTGACTTAACACTCTCCTCGTCCCGAGGCCAACTTCTATTTTCAGCTATGGTCCGATTCTCCCACACCGTCCGTTTGGCATGCGAACCTGCCTTCTCGTAGGTACGACCTTACCGGCGGCCTGAAACCTGTCCGCTCTTCGCTTATAAAACTTGCCGTGGCCACGGTGTCCACCGTGGCCTTCACTTTCCATTTGTTTATAAGCACTGTGGTGGACAGCTGCATCTCTTCCGCCTTGCGATTCCAGGGCGCCCCTAGGTCGATGGGGTCGCTCGTCGTTTCCCGCTTGTGCGCAGCATTCTTCATTCCATACGCCGGTTTTTCTGCACCTCCAGCAGAATGCGATGCGTCTGTCGTGACATTCCTGCGGCCAGTGGTTTTGGCTCCCACATATGAGATGCTTGAGATGGGTTCAATACATATCCCAGCCGTGCGCCTGCATGTTGCTGCCTGCTCCCTCCTCATGGTCGGCGCATGATACCGGGCCTTTGAGGCGTTCTCTTGTTCAAATCGCTACCTCTGCAGGTCGAGCTCCTCAAACTCATCTGTCAACGCCATCAGGGCATCCAGGTTCTGTAGGGGCGAACAAACAGCCGTAGCGCCGGTGTGCTGTTATCGTTGATTCTCTCCAAGACCTCGTCCTTGCTCATGCCCAGGGGTCGCAGGGATGATCTGGTCCAAAGTGCATCGAGGTTCCGCTAATTCACGGTCTCTCCGCTTTGTGCTGGTCCGAAGTCCGCAACTTCACCGTTACGTTGGGTCCAAAGTCTGCGGTGAGTCTGCAGTTCAACCCCGATGCCCTTGTTGAAAATGATCTCTCATTCGTGCATGAAGTGCCGGGTATTGTCATCATCATTTTAACGAATCTAAAAAACTCATGGAGAAATCCAATGTATGAAGCATTTTTTCGCAAGAATTCAACTACATCGTTAAATTTTTTTACTTCAACTCCATGCCGAAAAGTCAACTGCAGAAACATTTCTCGATGACTTTCTAACTTATCACCAACAAAATCATCTTTGTAAAACTCGACAATTTCATTTACATTTTCAGACTTTCCAATGACGAAAGATTTAAGGCTTTCAAAAAATCTGGCTGAATCTGTTTCAAATCTTGAGCAGAGTGAAGAAAGAATCTGATCGAAAACATCGAGGTAAATTTTTCGATACATGTCTTTCACGCATGGGAAAGCATGATCCTCGTTAGACGCACTTGAATCATATCGTTTTGGAATTTTCCGTTTTCGTGGGAGTTTTGCTTCTTCTAAATGAAACTTTTCCACTCCTTCTGAAGTTTTCTCCCAGATTTTTTTAAATTTCGAATCACGCGAATTTCTCAAACAATCAGTGACAGCTCTGATTTTCTCTTGATATTCGAAAACACTATACTGAGGATTTTGTAAGTCCTTACTTAAAATTTCAATTCATCAAATTCATGAAGAAAAAAAAAAGAAAAGTATTCATCTTCTGGTAAAAACCCATAACCTTTGCCGAAACTAAGCAGTCTTTTTCTTTCTCAGCCCACTGAAGAAAGAACGACATCAAAGCGCTATAGTTGCCCGGAAAAGCTTGCAAAGATTTGATTTTAACTGTCCATCTTAAATCAAATATTGAATCGTCTTAATAGAGATGAAATCATAAGAATCCCTTATAAAATGTAAATGCTATACATGAGACTCTATACGCCCGGAAATGACATATTTTCAAAAAAAAAAAGAAAATCATGGACATAAAACCCAATTTCCACAATATAAACACTTTCACAAAGTAATAAATTTTTTCTACAAGTCAAGCATTTTGGGGTGTTGAATTCCACACCCGCTAAGATTTGGCGTGTGGAGTGCTCAACACCCGGTTTACACCTTCCGCCGGCCTGGCGCCTAGTTTTAATCGGTACCTCAGAGGCCCATGTAGAAGAAGCAGCCACGCCGTCTGGAGATCATTTAGAGAGAAAGTCCCCGCCCACGTTTAGTACACATCGGGTCACCGTGTTGCACCAGAGCCTGCGAACTCAGTTCACTGCGGGTATCCTCGTCTATTTCATTTCCAAGTCACTTGGCAACTCAGCCTACTATCTTGTTCTACAACTTTATACAGTTCGTTTCATTTGGATAGGACACCTAGCAACTTTTATGGTTAATCGCTCGTAGAAAAGACAAAAATCGTTGAAAGCTAAAATTTTTTTTAAAGTTATAATCTCTGTTCTATTGTGATTCTAAAATGCAGTTACATTTTTTCATTATTGCTTTCCCCACTTTTTTATTTGAGTTTTTGCACTGTTGCATGGTTTTTTGCATGCTGAAAATCGTTTCATTTGGATAAGACACTTGTCAGTAATCACGTGTGTACAGTGCGCAGTTTGTTTAAAACGTTTTTTTTTTTCAATCTGATGCTATTATTGATCAAATGAAACTAAAATAGGCTTTGGATCGACACTCCAGGATAAAGATGGGAAAATTATGGGGGAAAATTGATGCATATTTGGACTCACGCCTTAATGTGAGCCAAATCGCCACGAAAATAAAACAAATCGCGAAATGTTGAACACAATTTATTGGCAGATAATGAAAACTATAAAAAAAAATTATAAAGGGCTCCAAAAAACAAAGTTCGGATCACAGAGATCCATCATCAGGCGCGGCACAATTTTGCAAAAGAAAATTTTGAAACGAAAGCTTTATTTTAATATTTTTTAATGTTTGGATTATATTTGGATGGCCCGGATGGGCTCAAATTAAGTTTTTTTCATCGAAAAATATAATCCAAACATTAAAAAATATTAAAATAAAGCTTAGCAGGAGCCTTTAAGAATAGCTTACTGAGCGCCAATTCGTTTCAAAATTTTCTTTTGCAAAATTGTGCCGCGCCTGATGATGGATCTCTGTGATTTTTAGAGAACTTGCCATTTTTGATGGCACCAAGTGTTGGCAAGTGTGTAAAGTCCGCCGAATGGTGTTTTAGACACCATGTTGGCCTCATAATGAGCCAAACCGGAGGCCTTTTTCACTATAAGCCGCTTATCTCGAACGTTTCACTTTGTTTTTTGGAGCCCTTTATAATTTTTTTTTTTAGTTTTAATTATCTGCCAATAAATTGTATACAACTTTTGAGCTAATAAGCTTTTTTATTAGCTGTTGAAGTAATTATGCACGAAGAAAATTTTGTTTTCGAATTCTGTAGCAGCGATTTTATTTTCGACGAAAAAGAGTTACAAATGGTCCGCGGGATCGAAAAGAAGTAATACAATTGAATCGAGACGCGGATCAGCCGATTGCTGACCCAAAGTATAAACCAACAAGCAACGAGAGAGAGCGAATAGAAAGATAAAGAGAGAGAGAGAGAGAGAGAGAGAGAGCGATGGTTATTATGCAGATAAGCTAAAAGCTAGCATTAAGAGAACCTAAATATCTGCTGCGGCTGGATGACCCGACATACTCCCCCCGTTGGAAGCCTGGCTCTCAACAGCATCCTTAAGGGGCAGCAGACACAGCTTATTAACTGCTCGTTTTGTCACTCCTGATGTTGTCTTGAGGACTTCAACACGAGCAACTCCATCTCCACCACACAGAAGCTCAACGACTCTCGCTAAAAGCCACTTCATCGGAGGCAAGTTCTTGTCCTTGACCAGCACCACGACACCTACAACCAGGCCATGCTTCGGGGTACGCCATTTAGAGCGCTGCTGCAGTAGCGTCAGGTATTCTTCCTTCCATCGGGTCCAGCGGACTTGCTGCAAATAGGCCACACGTTGCCATCCATCCAATCGTTCCGTCTTCCTCCCCCCAATAGGACAATACTGTGATCGAACTATGCAGAATAGGGCGCGAGGTCCAGTGTACAGATTACGGTCATGAACGTGAGTAATGATGGCGGCAGTGACAGGATGGCTTCGTGACAATATGATTGGATGACGACCATTGAAGTCCAGCGACGAGTTTCTGCGTATGGTGATTTTATTAGCAGAACCTTTCGACGATCATCAAGGCGATCCAAGCTATTCTCCTTACTAACGAAAGGTACGTCAAGGGGCGAGATTAATGAAGAGCCATTGGAAACGCCATATCCTTCGGAAACAACCCATCCCACTCGAGTCTTTTGAATAAGCGGTAATCCAGGTGCGAGCTTAATTTGTCCAACGCACAACAGCTCGTAAAACAAACTGGCTCCAATATAAAGATCCACACGCTGAGGGATATAAAATGTAGGGTCAGCTAATTTAATGTTTTGCGGTATTTTCCAGCTGCCGATTAAAACTAGGCTGTAGCTCAGTTATATTGGGGGCAATAACTGCGGTTAGGTTCACCGTGTAATCAGACGTTCGGGACTGCATCGTAATATTAACTGAGTGACCATTTGTAACAAAGCTCGAATCACCGATTCCAGTAACAGATGCCGAGGACTTCATCTTCTTTGTTTGAAGCTGATCTGCAAAGCGGGATGTTATTAGATGCAGTTGAGAGCCGGAATCAAGAAGGACTCGACATGGAACGAAAACTCCAGAACGATTTTTTACGAGAATGGTGGCAGTGGCTAGGAGCACAATGTCAGTACTGAAATCCTGAGCAATAAGAGCAGTGGATAAGGAAGGCACGGCAGATGATTCTACGACAGCATTGAGTGAGACAGCGGCAAGAGCTTCTGGAAGCTGTGATCCTGCCTGTGGAGAAGCTGAGGCTAAATTTCCCAAGTGAAGGAGGGTGTGGTGTTTAGCTCCGCATTAACGACAGTTGCTGGAATTGCACTGCCTCAATTGATGCCCTATCTTAAGGCAGTTTATGCAAAGAGAGAGCCTCTTTACTTCTTGAAGCCGATTTGCAGGGGGCAGGGCATTAAAATCTTGGCAGTAATGAATGGAGTGACCAGAAGCATTACAGAACGAACAAATCCAAGGGTTAATATTTGTGGCAACAAAAGCGGATTTGCGAGAATTAGACGTTCGGTTATTTCCCACCTGATTGCTAGACGCTTAGCTTGCCATGGCGAAATCCATAGTCTCCAATGTCCTGAATCGCTGCTCCAAAAATGATGCCATGGATTCCCACATCGGAATTAGATTGACGAATGCTGGATCCTCTAACCGCTCCTCCCATTTGGCCTGGCTCGCAGGAGCTAGCTTTTGAAGCAGTATTTGAACGATGATGCATCCTGCGATTTGTTCCGTCGTGCCCAATCCCTTTAGAGCACGAATATGAGCGTTAAACTTATCGGACAGCTCACGAAGCATCGAGACGGAACCACTCTGCACTGCCTTAAGCCCCAGGATCTCAGTAATGTGTGCCTGAAAAACTAAACGACGATTATCAAATCTTTTTTGCAATAAGTCCAATGCCACAGAATAATTGCCATCCGAAATTTCCAGCGAGCGGATGGTTTCTAACGCAGAATCCCTCAGGCATGAACGTAGATGCTGCAGCTTTTTAATGTTGGTCAGGTAGGATGACTATGATGGTAGTGAACATAGAGTAA